TTAAAAAAAAAAAAAAAGAAAGATATTTAATGTCAGGGAATATCATCTCATTTTTTAAGTGATACAGCTCAGACTGCAAAGCCGTGGCACCAAGTGATCTCAAATGCATTTTAATTATATTCATGGATATGTTCGGGCAGGTGGGAGATGTCAGAAGGGAGCACCTTCAGATAGTAAAAGTGGCTATCTGTATAACATGGAAGTACAGGGGATTTAAGTAGAAAACAAAACACAGTTTTCTCTGTTTTTCTAAATGTGTCTCTTTATCAGGTAGGGTTCCATTTCTTCCTACTAATGAATCTACCTTTTAACTTTGTTTGTCTACTTTGGGGGTGGGGACAGCATAAAAGTAAATTAGCCTCAATGATTCTTCCGTGTTTTAGAACACACTTGAGCTCGTAAACGTATAGGGACAGCCATTATCCGCAGGCTGGAGAAGCCGAGTGTGCTTACCTGGAGGGGATGTGGTCCTAGTGGCTTCCGTGTCTTTCTGGTCTTGGCCCGCTTCTGCCCACAACAGAAGAGAGACAGGGTGAGTGTTGACCCCAGCCTGTCCCACCTTGGTATCCGGGAGCAGTTCCCATCCCATGGGCACAGGAGGCAACATTGCTCCACGCCTCGTCACCTCCCAGGGGAGCTGGTGATGGCAGGGTCACTGCTAAGACAAAGAGGCTGCTGTCCCCAGACACAGACGTGTTGGCAAAGGCAGCTGCTGCCTGTTGGGCTAGAAGCAGGTGCATCTTTGAAATACTTTAGGAAAGCAGACTTCTCTGGAGTTCGAACAAAAAAAAATTTTTTTAATCACATATTTTTGAACAAAGAGAAACAAGGCAGCAGAACTGTGGATTCTAGTTCCCTGCTCTGTGGCTCCCAAAAGACTGCTGAGCCCTGGTTCTTGGTAAAACGAGTCCGTTATTGTTTAACCATTATTAGGCTCCTACTATGCTGTAGACTGAATGTCTGTGTTTCCCCAAAATTCATGTGTTGAAACCTAATCCCCAGTGGGATGGTCTTGGGGGCTTTTGGAGGGTGATTAGGTCATGAGGGTAGAGCCTTCATGAATGGAATTCATGCCCTTATGAAAGAGCCCCCACAGAGCTCCCTGGCTCCTTCCACCATGTGGGGACACAGCAAGACGGTGGTTATCTATGAACCAGAAAGTGGGCCTCACCCAACTTGACCATGCTGGTGTCTTGAGCTTGGACTTCCAGCCTCTAGAAACCATGAGAGAGAAATTTTGTTGTTCACAGATGACTCAGTCTGTGATATTTTGTTGTAGCAGCTAGAACGGACAAAGACATACTACATGCCAGATACAGCATTAAGCACTTGGTTTGTACCAACTCAACAACCACCTCACCCTCATTCAGAGCTGAGAAAGGGGACACACAGAGAACACAGGTCACTTGTTCTAGGTCATGGAGCTAGGAAGTGGCAGAATGCAAACCTAGGGCTATAGCTGACAGTCCTAACCACTGAGCTGGGCTGCTACTTCTCTTCTGACCTTACCACAGAGAGCTAGCGAAGGTAACTCCAACAGGCTTGGGGAAGGAAGGACCTGCCTTAAATTCAATGTGTCAAAGATCAAGATTATGATGGTATTCTGTGGAAATCGGGCTCAGAGGTTGACTGATGATGTGGACATACAAAAGTGCTCCAGCAAAGAGAGAGAACCTCAAAGGTTCTAAACCAAGCAGATGGTTCTCTTCAAAGCAAAATGCTCAGGTTCAGAACTAACAGAATCCTATGCCCTATTACCCCAGGCAAACAACTGCTTCTTAGGGTGCCTCCTTTATCTGTCAAATGGGCCTCCTAGGACCAGGGGGAGGATTCAGAGGCTATATGGAGGGGCTTAGGAACACGCCAGCCCACCAAGGTCCTCCCTGGTGTCCCTGCCTCTTAATCAAGGAATCCATTTGTTTATCTCTTCATTCTTAGTAATTGGTAAATGGTTATTATGAGTGATTTATGCTTATTAATAAAGAATCCATGGTTATCCATCACCACAAGCAAAGTAAATGGTTAGGTCACTTCTGATGACATCCTTGCCTAGATGTTTTCAGGTGCAAGGCTGTTCCCCATAAGTCACTACCATATCATGGAGACAAAACCAGTCTTGCAGCCCGAGGACAGGTTCAAGACCAGTCCAGCTGGTCTCATGATGGACCGTCTGTAACTTTTAACCTCCCAGAGCCTCCGTGTCCTCCATCATCTGAAAAATAGGTCTACTGGTATTTCTTCCAAGCCTGTCAAAGAGCGGTCATCAGAACTGAACATGTGTATTGAGAAGGCATGTCTCCACTGGATTCCGTGCTGTGCTCCTATGGAGTCTGCCCTGCTTACTTGTCCTGGAGGGACTGGTCAGTGGGCAGCACTGGTCCCAGTAGCCACTGTGGAAAGAAACCACTCTACTTCAATTGTCCACCCAACTCAGCACATAAGCCAGGCAGGGATCCCCTGCAAACAAGACAGCTTTCGGACTGGGGGGCCCAGGAGAGAAAGCTCATGGCAGTCTGATCAGGAACATTAATTGACACATTGGTCCTGATTCAGTGACAAGGAGTCAGATTAGCATCAGGCCTATGTTTGGGTGAAGAGACCTCTCTCTGGGAGAAAGGGCCATCATGTCCCCCCTTGCTGGAGCAAGTCCACGGGGGAGGGAGTTCGGTCTAGTGGTAAAGACAGACGCGGTGGAGGCCTCGAGCCCCAGCCCTGCCACCCTGAAGGACAGATATAACCATCCCTTTCCAGGGGTTGGTACACCATGGCCTAGACCTCAAGCTGTTTTTGTAAATGAAGCTGCAGATGAACACAGGCACACCCCCCCAGTTACGGATTGTCTATGGCTGCTGTCTCACTACAATGGCAAATTTGGGTCATTGTGACAGAGACTGTATGGCCCACAAAGCCCCAAATTATTACTCCGTGGCCCACTACAGAAAAAAAAAAATTGCCAATCCCTGCTGTCCGAAATGAAGAAATTGAAGCTTTGAGAGGTCGAACCATGCTTCCAGAGTCCTGCAGCTAAAAAGTGGGAGAGCCAGGATTCCATCCCAAAGCTGCCTGAGTCCAAAACATAATTGTTTCATTCCAGCATGGTAAGAACAATCACGAGCCCTATACCTTTTTCCTTCGTAACTGATGTTTGTGCCTGCATTCAGGCTGCCTCCTTTTCTAGAGGGCATTTGTGGGCACTGCTAGGTCGTGGGTGTGAGTGCATGTGTGTTGGGAGATAAATTTGTCCTCAGTTTAGGATGGAAGTGGCCCCTGTCAATCCTGCTGGGAATGGTTGCTGTGTGGGCAGGGCACATGGTGAAGCTTCGGCTTGGAGTAGGTGCCATTTCTTCTTTTTTCTAGACCTGCTGTCCAAGGCACAGGCTGTCCGGGAGCTGTCTGGGATGCGATGCCCTTGGACACGGAGGACAGCCAGGAAGGAGCTGCACCAAGAGCGTCTGCTTCTGTTCTCATAGCAGGAGCCAAGAAGAGCGATAACACACACTTCTGGGGAGGTGGTTGTGCAGAGGGATCTCCCTGAGGCATAAGGTTGCCAAATTTGGCAAATAAAAATACAGGATGCCTGGTTAAATTTAGATTTCACATGAACAACCAATCAATCACCTTTTAGTGTAAGTATATCCCATGCAAATTCTGGGACATACTTATACTAAAAAAAGTATTTGTTGTTCATTGAAAAGCAACTTCAGATGATTGAGGGTGAATGTCCTGCATCTGACAATTCTACTGAAGTGGGAGTAGGAGTGTGGGAGAAAGCAGAGCATAGAGGGGAGAGATCGGGGGGGGGGTCAGGAGGAACTGAGATTGGCTCTGGAATGATCTTGGGGCAGTTTCAGTGCAAACCTGGGCAAGGGGCATTTTTGGGGAGCTAATTCCAGCCAGTAGGCAGATGGTACGATCAAAACGTGGGTATTTGGATTACACACTGGCCGCCTTGTGCTCACCTTCTCCTGAAAGGGCCATTGCACTGGTGTTCGTGGGCTCCACGGGAACCACTGAAAAAGAAAGCTCCCAAATCAGTGACTGATGGAACCGAGTGTCTAAACCAAGTACCACGAGTCCCAAAGGACAAGCTGGGACTGCTGGACCAAGGGAGGAAGGGGGCTATGAGCAGTGTTGCCAGAAAAGGGCTGCTGGTTCTGTCTTAGGCTTCCCTTGCCCCTCGTACATCTCCTGGGGCTCAGGCTGCCCAGCAGGACCTTGGCTCAGGAGGGACTCCAGCCAGTTCCGGCTTCTGGCCAGGGCGGTGACACTAGCAGACCCAGGCTATGGCAATGAAAGGTCTGCAGGCCCCGAGGGTTTGTGGCTGTGGAACAGGACATCCCTACTTGGGAAGACCTCTGTTCCAAAGGGAACCAGATGGCACAGAAGAAAGAGCGCCAGACTCAGAAGAAACATAGAGATAGGACACGTACACACACTCCTACTCACACATGTACACACTCCCACAGCCCTGTGCACACGCACACTCATGCATGTGGACGCACTGGTATCAGCTTTTTAACAAAGGCTGCAGCACTGGGAAGGAGACCTCAGCCCCAGGGAAGGAGGGGTGCTCTGCCAACGTGTACCTGGAACTTTCCGTTGGGACTGAGAGATCGTGCGAACACTGGTGAACAAGGAATAACAGGCAGAAGCTGAACTCTCGCATTTTCCATAAGATGCATGTTTTAGAGTAGGAATGATCACTTGCTTATTTCAGTAGACAGATATTAAGAGCCCACCCTGTCTTGAAAGGAGGCACACAGAAAACAGCCTCCCCTTCAAGGAGCCTCCATCTGGGTCCAGGCTGCCCTTTCTGCCGTAGGTTCTGGAAGGTAGAGGAGGGAGGCAGCTGGTCTGCTCCCAGGTGACCTCAATGGCCAGGAGCTCACCCAGCCGAGAGAGGCCTTTCTCTGTCATATCACTAGACCTGGTCCCGGTCACACTGCACACCAGGGCCCTGACCATAGAGCAAGAGAGAAAGAATTGGGGTCTACCTCTTAACTGGATTAAATGCTCACCTGTCCACGTAACAAAGAATAGTGTTGGCAGGAGGGCCATTTGCTATTGGATGTGTGAACTGGGTTTATCAGAAGTAATTGTGTCCCCTAGCCAGAGAAAGGCAGAGATCTAGCCAGTGCCGTGGGTCACTCCAGCTGGCCCCGTGGAGGGGGTGCTCCCTCTGTAGTCTGGCCCCCGTGGTCCAAGTAAAAGCAGCTTCCCTGGGAGACCTTACCTCTGGGCAGAAGCGTCGTCAGCTCTTCCATGCTGGTTGTCTCTGCAAAGAGACACATTGGAAAGCCTGTTTAGAGCAGCGGGTCTGGGGACTGTCAGAAGGTGCTGGACTGGCTTCTGAAGAAACAGCAACTACTGCTCCCATAGCAGCTCCCGCCCCAGATGGTCAGCCCCACCGCTGATGCAGGGCCCGGTTCTTCCCACCTGGAGGCTGAGCCAGACAGAAGGAAGTGTCCAGATGGTTCAGGGAAGAGTTGATCCTGGACTGAGCTAAGCATTCTATGGCAGCCTTGTTGCAGGTACACAGCAGGTGCTCACAAGGGTCCCCGGACTCTGTGCACAGAGCAAGGGCAGAGCGGATTGGACAATCTCATTTGGAATCCCGAGAGGTAATGCAAGCTCCCAAACTGGCCCCAATCTGCCCACCGAGGCCCCACTCCTCTGGCAGGCGTCCTCCTGTTATCCACCTTGGCTCTGGGAGCTACAGCAGCATAAGGCTAACCTGGGAGTGGTGCCCGCTCCGTTTCTCACACTCACACCCGACCCGTCGGGCCATCCTATTGGCTCTACTTTTGACCTGTTTAGAGTGTGACCTCATGTCCCCACCTCCACGCCACTACCCTGGGCTTAGCCCCCATCAGCTCGTGCCTGAGTTATCTCAGTGGCCTTCCCCCCCACCTGCTCCTGTCTGCTCTCATGGAGGAGCCAGAACAAGGTGTTCAAGACTCAGGGCAAACCATGTCTTTTTTGGGGTTCAGAACCCTGCGACGACTTCCCAATCTATGGAAAAGCTGCTGTTCCTGTTCTCTTTCCTCCCTCATCACCCCTTTCTGACTGACTGGCCTGTCTCCCAAGCATGCCGGGCACCTTGAGCCTCGGGGTGCACGCACCTCCCAGATAGCCGCCAGCTTGCTTCTCCCCCATGCCTCAGTCTTTGCTCTGTGGGCATCTCCTCGGGGAGGCTTCCCTGCCCAGCCCTCCCTATGCCTTTCCCCTGCTTTATTTCCCTCCATGGCTCTTGTCACTCTTTAACGTACTCTAGCACTTTGATATTTTCAGTGTCTGGCAGCCAGGAGGAGATTTCAAAAGGTCAGGATATCCCCAATATCTAGACGATTGTCTTTTTTTTTTTTTTTAAGATTTTATTTATTTATTTGAGAGAGAGAATGAGAGAGAGAGAGAGAGAGCATGAGAAGGGAGAGGGTCAGAGGGAGAAGCAGACTCCCCGCCGAGCGGGGAGCCCGATGCGGGACCCGATCCCGGGACTCCAGGATCATGACCTGAGCCGAAGGCAGTCGCTTAACCAACTGAGCCACCCAGGCGGCCTAGACGATTGTCTTGCACTTGGTGTAGGTGTTCAGTATGCATCTGCTGGATGGATGGATGGATGGATGGATGGATGGATGGATGGATGGTGCTTTCCCTGTCCACCGTGTAGTGATTTATGCCCATGCACCTCCTCACCTCTTTCCCGATGCACCATACTTCAGCCAGTCCTCTCTACCTGGTCTTTGGGGTCAGTTGAACCTGGGCTCAAACCCTGACTCTACCACTTAGCAGCTTATGTGACTTTGGGCAAGTTATTTAATTTCTCTGAGCTTTCCTGTCCTTACCCGAAAACTGGGAATAGTGACCCCATCTCATAAGATTGTTGGGACAGTTATATCTGCTGGGTATAAAGCCTATGGCACGTAGTAGGTGCTCCTAAAGGGCGGCTCTCATAGAGCACCCCCAAGGTGCCATGCACCTCTTCTCTCTGTGCCTTTGTCTCTTCTAATTCTTCTGCCAGCATTGCCCAGAGACACGAGATAAAATCCCTGGTGAGTAAGGTGGAGAGCTGAGATTTGCATCAACACATGTCTGATTCTTACAAAGAGCAGCAACCACAAACCTAATTCACCCATCCCTGCCTCTCTTCTACTTCCAACCCTGACTTCTTCACATAGGCCATTCCCTGTGTTAGCCGTTCTACATTTAGCACTGTTTCCATTTAACAAGTGTAACACTGTTTTACACTTAAGCATTGTTTAGTTTTTATGACAAATCTCTGAAGCAGGTTTTCTCCTCCCCATGTAGAGGCTGCCACTTGTTGAGTAACTGCTCCCGTATCACACAATGTTATCAGTAGAAAACCATCTGCCTCCCCAGGCTCCCAGGGTTGCTGCAGTATAAAACTGTAAATCAGATAACCTGCCCATCAATTATTCTTTCATTTCAAAAAGCATTTATTGGGCGCCTGGGTGGCTCAGATGGTTAAGCGTCTGCCTTCGGCTCGGGTCATGATCTCAGGGTCCTGGGATCGAGTCCCGCATCGGGTTCCCTGCTCAGTGCAGAGCCTGCTTCTCCCTCTCCCTCTGCCACTCCCTCTGCTTGTGCTCTTCTGTCTATCTCTCTGTCAAATAAATAAATAAAATCTTAAAAAAAAAAAAAGCACTTATTGTGCATGTACTCCTTGCAAGGTACAGATGCCAGAGATCTAGCCCTCAGGGGGCTTGGAGTATAGATGATGATGTCCTCAATGGTGGTGATGATGGGGGGGGGGCCCTTGGAGCCCTGGGTCTGGTCCAGGCCTGGGATTCTTGAACTGCCTGTCATTTCTCAGCCCAGCCCCCGGGGACACCTGGAGATGCTCACCACATGTGATGCTCTTGCTGACGCAGTTGACATCTGTGCTGAGCTTGGCAGGGTCTTGGAGACAGTCCATCTCAGCGGCCTCTTCAAAGCACCTGCGGTGCTGGAAGCAGCAGCTGGGGCAGGTAGGGGAGGTCAAGGTGAGAGCGTGGGGGAGGGTGAAGAGAGGGGAGTCTGTGAGTATTGTGTCTCTGGATGATTCCTGGCAGTGACCAGTTTCAAATAGTGCTCTCGTGCATACACACACACACACTATTTGAGTTATTTTACCTACACAGCAGGTGCTATTATCATTATGAGCATTTATACCCATGGGGACTGAGATGCATAGTGCTCAATAACTCGCCAAGGTCAAAGTTGATCACAGAGCGAGGCTGACGCTAAAATGGGAGTCAGGAGGCCCTTGCAGTGCACACATGAGGTCAGTGGAGACCAGTGTAAAAGAGAAAAAATATACAGATAGGTGATGGCCTTGGACAAGCTACTAACGTTCTCAAATTACCTAACTCAAGAATTTTTGGAGATTCAAGAAAACATCTATATAGATCCTGCCCTGAGGTAGGCACTCAATAAATGACAGCAATTATTCTTTGAATCTGGTGTGCAGGTTCAAGGTGGAAATGGCCAGCCCTCCAGGTGTTTGGAAATCCACACCCCCAACAACTGAACTGTGTACCGTCATAGAAATTGGGTGTGGCTCATTATCCTGCCAGTTTGGGGCCATCAGCAGTTTGACCATTCAGACAGTGAATTACTGCTTCATTTCTTTGACTTCCAGGTTGACAAGGTATTCTAATAATTAGAGGAAGTGGTAAGGGAGGACCCGAAAGGTAACAAATTCCCAGAAACCATCCTGACGCTCTGCTGCATTCAGGATCCCACTCTCTCTTCCTGAACGTCAACGAGCGAAGTGCCGGGAGGCAGTTTGCTCATGGTCCCAAAGATGGGAAATACCCTTCTTATCCAGAGGCAACTTACACCTTCCCTTGGAGATGTGGAAAGGGAGAGATCTATCGCTTGACTCCAAAGCCATTATCCCTGATCAATCAAGGATATCTCCCTTTTTATTTAATTAACTAATTAACTTGAAAAGCAATTGGGGGTTGACTGCCTAGTGTGAGTTAATTTACCCCGTGCTGTGGTCCATGCTGAGGGTGCCAAGAAATAACATGGTGCAGGCCCCCCTTAGAGGACACTGGGTGGAGCAGGAGGCCGTGGGCATGCGCTGTCCCCTGTGGCCGGTGTTTGAGGAGCATGGAGGTTACCCTGGCGCCTTGTGGGCAAGGCGTCCAAAGAGGGCATCCTCGTGGAGAAATGCCAGGGCAGACAATGGGCTGTCCTTCCCAGTATTATGAGAGCGCACACTCCATCACACCGGCTTCGGGCACAAGTACCACGCCAGTGAGGTAGGGCCATGGATCCCGGAGTATGGGGAGACACGTGGGTTCCGTTTCCTGCTTTCCTCCCGCTGGTGCTGTTGCTGTCGCTGTGGCTGCAATTACTGAGATTACTAGTATTGCTAGTACCTGGCATCACCCTACCATTCCTGTTACCGTTGCAACCAATCACTAATACTCTCAGTAAGTAAACTCAGTGAGCCAGGGAGAGCCCCAGTCACTGTACTGTGTACTTGGTCATTTAATCCTAAATAATAATTCTATAAAGAAGCTATTATTACTTCCTCCATTTTACAGAGGAAGAAACTGGAACACAAAGAAATGACGTACCTCGCCCAGGGGTCACGCCATCCGTCAGGAGCAGAGAGCCGGAATTACAGGGTCATAGGTTGCACGCCTTGACACACAGAGTCTACCCAATTTTCCCAACTGACCCTCCCAGTGTCAGTATCTGTTTATCAGATCCTTGCTGACACTCGATGCTTCTCAGATTTTAGATTTTATTGCCAGTCTGATGTGTAAAAGTGGATATCTTGTGTTAATTTCCCTCCCTGTGTGCAGGGAGGGCACATATCTTTACCGACTCCTCATACCTTCTCTGTATTCCCCGCTAGCTGTTTAGCTCTTTGAGGCAGGGATAGTATTCTGCTTATATTAAGCACAGTGTTCAAATGTTATTGGAGCACGTTTGTGGAAAATTAAACAGAAACCTTCATACTTGCTTTACCCCTGGTGGCCAGGACTGTCTGAATAAAGAATAATTTTCTTATGTTTAAGAGTCACCCGGGAGCTTGTTTGAAATTCAGACTTCCGGGGTCTAGCTAAAGGTGGTCTGAGTCAGTAGGTCTGGGATGGGTCCCTGGAATCTACATTTTAGCAAGCATCCAGGTGGTTCTGACACCTGTAGACCCAACTTGGAGAAACACTACACGGAAATTCTGCATATCAGACACATACGGGATCTTGACAACTCCCCAGGATGTGAGACAATCACAGAATACGTGACAGTTTAAAGGCGAGGCAGCCAGTCACCCCACAGGTAAGGAGAATCAAGACAAGACAAGAAAGCTTTCCACATCTGTGCTCTGCCCAGGTACCAGCCAGGCCTCTGACAGCTCACCTGTGGGTGTGGCTCACCTGTCAGACTCGTCCACAGGCGGCCCCTCCATCTCAAACCTGCAGGCACAGCCGTAGTCCTCGAAGTCCCGGGGGCAGAGACTGGCCACACACTTCATACCACTCACGAACTGGAGCAGCGCAGGGAAGCTGGTGAAGACAGCCTGCAGCCAGGTGAAGTGGGAGCCCAGGCAGTCTGTGGGGAGAGGACAGCGGGGAGGGGACTGGGAACCAGGGTCAAGGAAGGAGCCCCTGTGCCTGGGACTTCCCACACCTCAGCAACCAATAAGCCCCTACTGTATACTCACAACTGTTCTGAACAATTGAAGGGAGGTGGGTTTATAAGCCACGGCCCCTGTTGGTTGTCCCCCTAACAAACAGTCATTTAATCCTTCTCCCTTACCAACAAAGCTGAAAGGGACTCAGGGGAGGTGAGCCTCCTCCCTAAGTCCCTGTGGACGTTTGACACTTGCTCATTCTCAGCTGGTCATGCTAATCCCAGGTTCCATGACAGTGAGTGGCCTGGGACTGAGCACGTGATCCAGATCTGGCCAGAAACACTTAAGAGGAAGTCTGTTAGAGGTTTTTGGGAATTATTTCTTTCATCATAAAGAATGCAGGCATGTAGGGACGCCTGGGTGTCTCAGTCGTTAAGCTTCTGCCTTTGGCTCAGGTCATGATCCCAGGGTCCTGGGACCGAGCCCCGCATCGGGCTCCCTGCTCCACGGGAAGCCTGCTTCTCCCTCTCCCACTCCCCCTGCTTGTGTTCCCTCTGTCGCTGTGTCTCTCTCTGTCAAATAAATAAATAAAATCTTAAAAAAAAAAAAAAAGAGAATGCAGGCATGTAAAGAGATCCTTTTGATCTACACTTTTCTCCTTCCTTAAATATGGGTAAGAATATGCTGGCCAGGACTGCAGCAACCACTTGGCCACCATGAGGCCTGAAGTCTAAAGTTGAAGAGCCAGTAAGCTTAGTTATAGCAGCGGGGAGAGAATGAAGCTGCTGGGTCGCTGATACCTGTGCTAAGCTCCTGCACCAATCCTGGTGCTTTCAGCTTTGGTGAGATAATTAAATGTCTTGGTTATTTAAGTCACTATGAGTCTGCTGAATGGATCCCAAATGATACAGTCCCAGCACTGGGGAACTGTAATCCAGTGCAGGAAGAGAAGGGATATAGACACTAATAATTTGGGGCCTCTACTATGTGCCAGAAATTGTGCTAGATGCTTAAAATAGAATAATGGTTAAGCTTGCTAGTGAGTCACACTTTAGAAAGCATTCACTTGGTCCATCACCGCATAAACTTCATGTTAATCCTGCAGGGCAGACGCTATTCTGTCACTTCTATTTCACAGATAAAGGAACTGAAGGTCAGAGATCTGCCTGAGGTATCAACCAGTGGTACTGATTTGCCCTAAACAAGAATGCTCCTGTAAACAAAATTGGCAAGAGAACGATTTCCAGTTTTTGTTTTGTTTTGTTTTTGATTTTTACTTTAAGCTGCATGCTCACCCTCCCCTTTCTCCGCCTGTCTGATCAGAGGACTGTTAAGTGCTAACAGGGTGACCCCACAGCCCTGATTCTAATGCACGGGGTCACCCACAGGGAAGCTTGGGGAGGTCAAAGAGTGGTCTGCGAGGACTAGTTTCACCCAGACTATTCTAGTTTTTCCTACCCTATTCAAACTTCCTTTCCCGTGTTTTGTTTCCACATAGCCTAATCAGAAAAATGAAGAAATAATTCTGTTGAAGGAAAAAGCCACTCTAAGGCTTGTGTGTGTTTATATAAATATTCATTTTCACTCAAAAACATACGGGGCACCCACACTTAGTCACCTACATATTTTCAGTGCCGTCCTCTGGCAAGCATGGTCTAATCCAAGAGCAGTTCAGCACTCCTTGCTTCTGTCAATCCTGTGATAGCCTTATTTTGGGGCTACTTCTAGAAAACAATGATGGGAACCATCATGGTGCCTGGCAATCGCTGGTCACATGATAGATACCTAATTGAGAAATGGAATACTTGACAATCTTTGGGATTCTTAGGCTTTATGTATGTATATTTTATCATGTATATTTAGTAGTTGGGGAGAGAAAATCCAACAACTTTGGTGGAGGGCACTCAGCTCTAGACACAGAAGAGAGCTCCCTCCTTCTTGGCATGTCACGTAACTCCCCTCAGTCCCTCCCCTGTGCAACAGGGGTACCTTTCCCTTCCTGGCCAGGTTGTGGTGTGGTCAGGACTAATGAAGTAAGGACTATGAAGGCGCCTGGCAGCGTGGTGACTCATCTTGCAGTAAAAGACACCACTACTCTCTGGATCACACAGCTCAGAGCTTGCTGGGGTGGTGGGAGCAGGGGAGCCCCAGGCCCAGTAGTTTGCTTAGATTTCCCACACTCACCCCATGCCCTGACACCTGGTGGATAGAAGCACCTTGGCATTTAACTTACCAAAAATGTCGGCGACACTTTCGACATTTTTAAACACCCCAGGGAAGGATGTGATATCTAAGTGGAAGGTAGAGAAAACAAATCAGAGAGCTCTGGTTTCTCCCCTTCCCCTGCCCCACCCCTGTGAAGAGTAAGCAAAACCCTTTCTCTTTCTCTAAGGATAGATTTGACCTTGGACTAACTTTCTAGTAACACGGGTTACCATGGAGACCCAAGAAGATGAGACGGGAACTGTGTTACCAGGCAACATTGCTCGGTGGTACAAAAGACCCTGGATGATAAGGTGTATCTGGACTTGGCAAGGACCATGGGTGAACTATAAATACCTGGTGGGAAGTGATTGTCTGGGGGCTCCCTCAGTGTGATAACTCTTGGAACTGAAGCATGTTTTTTCTGGGCATCCCGGAAATTATACCTATGGAACTGTTACTAGAGATACTAGTTCTAATGCAGACTGAAGCTTCTAGGCCAGGGCAGGTCCTGTGGCTGCTTCATGTGAGTCCCATTCCCTTGTACCTGAGCTGCTCCCTGGGGGCTCCAGGGAGATGTGGGGATCACCTCCAGGGCTACTCTCTTTGAAAAGGAATGACTGGCATGGCCTGATGGCGCACGGGGCTTCCTGGCCTTGATCCTTCCAAGTGCCAAGTGTGGCCTGTGAGTCTTAACATCTACTAGAGGTTCTCTTTGGCCTGGGCATTGCCCTTCCCATGGGGGTGATGGCATTTTGAGAGAGGTCAGATGATCATCTGGGTCTGGGTGGGACTGATCACTTTGTTTGCATGGGCTCATGCACAAAGAACTTGGTGACTCAGCTCACCTCTCTGCAAGGTGGGAAATGAGTCTTAAATTCTGGGCCAACGTGACCAGCTGGTTCACTATGCATCATGGTCTTCAGCAGTACCCAGCTAGGAACCCACCTGAGAAATCTTCACAATCTATCACCAGGAAAACCTCCCCTTCCCAAAGGAGCAATTATGGGTCCTCTTTTCTTATCGGTAGAGCTCTGGAATACCTTTTCTTTCTCTTTTTGTCTTACCTTCTAGAAGGCTCAGAGCTCAGTTTGAAGCTAAAATATTGTGACCATATAACCCTCACGATCAGCCCATTTATTTCCATCCCCTGTTCCCTTTTCAGCTAACCTTCATTTGATGGAAGTTGTAATATTTTGTCTCCAAGGAGAGAGCAGAGGTGGGTCAGACACAGGGGAGACTGCGGAGGGGGAGGCTTTTGAGTCTTATTTGAATCGCTTTGCCTACAAGAGCCCCAGCAGTGAGTGGTATATTCAGAAGGGGTCATTCTCCCTGCCAATATCCTAGACAACTTTCTACCTGGTGAGGTCGCCTAAGAAAAGTTCAAAAATCCTTACTGATATTTTTTGAGAGTCCCGGAGGCAGCTCCCGTGGAAGGTGTGGGGTGTCCAGAGGATGGCCCCCTATAATCAAGGAGGAGAGAAGGGTTAGTAGGAGCACTTCCACTTGCTGGGAGGGGCAGCCAGGAGGGGAGGGGATGCAGGTAAATTCAATTCTATGTATTTTTTTCTAGAACCTGCTGTGTGCTGGGTCTCTGATGAAAATAAGGTGGTCCCAGTGTTTCAGATGGGTTGGCCTTAAGAGTAGCCTTCTGGTGGAAGATAGAGAGATTTGGGAACTCATCTTGAACCTGTTGTTGCATAGGAAGCAAACCATTTTAATTTAGATTGCATGTTTGTTTGGAGTGCCTTAAGATGAAAGATAGGCGGAAATAAGTGCGGACAAGGAGAGGCCCCTCCAACCCCCAGGGAGCTTATCATCAAGGACAGGGCTTTCCCACACTATCAGCACACAAAATGATCAACAGCTGTTAGGGATCCATGCATGCTGAGACTCAGCCCCCTACCCTTCATTTATCCACAGTGGAGACATGGTGAGAGGATGCAAGTTTTGAATTGTGTGAAATAATCGGGCAGGGAGCCAGTGGGACTTGGCCTTTTCCCATACTTGGTCACTAGGCTGGGCTATGTCCCCAGGGGCCTTGAGCTCTCAGTAGGAAGCAGGGGGTCTGCAGGGAATCGAGAGGGGCTGGAGCAATGGTGTGGTATCAGATGAACTTGAGCCTGCAAGATCTGACCGCATGGGGGCGCCTGCGTGGCTCAGTGGGTTAAGCGTCTGCCTTCTGCTCAGTTCTTGGTCCTAGGGTCCTGGGATCGAACCCCTTGTAGGGCTCCCCGCTCAATGGGGAGTCTGCTTCTCCCTCTCCCTTTGCCCCTCCCCCCTGCTCATGCTCTCTCTCTTTCTCTCTCTCTCATTCACTCTCTCAAATAAATAAATAAAATCTTAAAAAAAAAAAGATCTGACATCATGGATCAAAGAAGTGTGTCAAGAGTGGATTAAGTAGCACTGAGAGGTGTACTGAGGACATGAAAATGTTACCCCAGCCATTCATCATTATTATGACTATTACTACCAACTTCTTCCACTCACTGCCCCCTGTCCCCTCCACACTAACAAATGGTTTGCATTGCTTGGACCTCACCTCTTCATCCACCTCATCAACACCATGGACTTATCTCAGGGGCACAGACGTCTTTAGCAGGTGCTTGTCTGCAGGAGAGCAGTCTTCCAATCTACAAACCCTGTGGGCTCGCCCTGGGTCCAGGCAGCCCCCAGACCCTCTGCTGTCGGGCTCTCCAGGGATGGGTTGGAGGGGGAGGCAGCCACCCTCCTGTGCACCGTACCCTAGCCCGTCCACATGACGAAGTCCGCCCAGCACCAGCCTCCCTCCCAGCTGGATGTGCTCTGTGGCTGTGGGCAGGAGCAACCTCTCTGGTCCTCCGGATTTCTCACCATTAAACACAGAGGGATGGTCCCACTGAGGGACATTCCCACTGGCCCAAGAGCCATGGGCTGCGCGGGGAAGTGCCCTGCAGATGTTCAGAAGGTGGGGAGACCCAGGACTTCCTTCAGCTCCAGGTGAGCCCTATCACAGAGCCCACGTAATTGCTCCGGTGCATTCCATATTTGGTGTAATTGCCTCAGAAACGATTTAATTAGCATACCAGCCAACAGCTAAGAATATCTGCTGCCTACTCAGGCAGCAACTGTGAAATACCCCCTGGTCCTCGATAATTACTTCTCTGGTATCTCCTTGGCGTCCTGGCAGGTGGAGGTGGTCTGCTCACTGAGAAACAGCTAACAAGGATGCATGCCCCCTACTTCCACCCCTACGTACTCTCAGGGTGTTGACATCCACACATTTCATTAGCAACGAAAGAAGCACCCTGGATTTGAAATTACTGATCCCAGAGGACTGAGTTGGCTCGCTCACAAAATCCAGAGGGGAGGCAGGTACTTGGGGATGGGAGAGTTCTGGTTCCATGGGAGTGCTGCTCTAGGGGAAGGAAGCTAGCATTCGTCCCGTTCCAGGCTCAGTTTTGCAGGCATCCCCTCAAATCCAGTGCTGTGCCCAGTGCTGTGGGGCACGTTTTGCCATTGCCACTTTATCAACAGTGAAGTCGAGACCCATGGAGGAAGCTCTAGCTTCTTCTGCCCTGGAACCTAAGGCTTCCCTCCATCTGCCCCTGCCTAGCTCTGCCAAACCATCTCCCTCTTTGAATCCCATGCTTCTGGGATGCTTATCATTTTCCAGACACCAAACTACTTCTTGCCATTCTGGCTTGGCTTGTGCGGTGCCCTGAGCCATGACCTGCTCCCTTTTGCGTTACTGACTTACGTTTTTGGATTCCATGTAAAGTTCGAGAAGTCCTACCAAAACCCCAACATGGGCTGGCGTAGGGATACCTTCCCTGGCTCCCGTAATGTGGGGACATCCTTCTCTCACTGCACTTATGACCCTATGTTGCAATGATCTGTTTATGTGACCGTTTCCCCCACTAAATTAGGAACGTATTGAGGGTCAGAACGCTGACACATTAAAGCACACGTTCAGTAGATAGCTCTTTAATGAACAAATGTGCACACAGTGGTTGAACTACGCCATCAAATGGCCAATTTCTCAGCCAGTGAGTGATGGCCCACTAGAATCATAGCGTCCTAGCCTTGTAAAGTTTTTTTTTTATTCTTATGTTAATCCCCATACATTACATCATTAGTTTTAGATAAAGTGTTCCATGATTCATTGTTTGTGCATAACACCCAGTGCTCCATGCAGAACGTGCCCTCCTCAATACCCACCACCAGGCTAACCCATC